TTCCTTTAAAAAAAAAAAAGAAGAAGAAGGAAAAAAATCACAGTACATTCTCAAACCACAAAGAAGTTAATTGCGAAACTAATAAAGATATTTTGAAAAATCTCCAAATAATTTGAAGTGTAACGAACCTGTTAATCTTCGATAGATCAAAAATGAAATCCCAAGAAAATTTTAAAAATGTTTCTCCCACTTTTTTTAATTTAATTTTTTTATACAAATCGAGCACAAATTGTCATTTCTCTGGTAGTACATGATGTTCTCCCACATTTTTTATTGGTGCATTATAGTTGTACACATTTATGGAATTTTGTTATATATTCATACATGCCCACAATATAAAAATGTAATTTGGCATTTTTAATTTAATGACTACAAATTGTAACATCAAGATTTGTAGTCTTAAGAAGCTAGAAAAGAAATTTATCCCAAAAGTAATAGAAAAAAAAATGAGCAAAAATCAACAAAATAGAAACATGTCATTATATGATATAAATTAATTATCAGTAATAAAATTTCAGGTTGTGGTGGTGAACACCTGTAATCCCAGCAACTCAGGAGGCTGAGGCAGGAGGATCACAAGTTCAAGGCCAGCTTCAGCAACTTAGTAAGACCCCATCTCAAAACAACAAGGGCTGAGGATGTGGCTCAACACCCTTAGGTTTAATCCCCAATGCCCCCCACCCCCAAAAAAGTTTTCCTTGAAAATTTTTATAAAATTGACAAGTCCCTAGCCAGACCAATCAAGGAAAGAGAAAGGAAGAAAGAATACCCAGGTATCAAGAATAAGAGTAGCCAGGCATAGTAGTGCACACCTGTAATCCCAGCAATTTAGGAAGCTAAGACAGAAGGATCTCAAGTTCAAGGCCAGCCTCAGCAATTTAATGACACCCTGTCTCAAACCACTCAGGTGATGGTGCTCACCTATAATCCCAGTGGCTGGGGAGGCTGGAGGAGGAGGATCACAAGTTCAAGGCTAGCCTAAGCAATTTAGCAAGGCCCTAAGCAAATCATTGCGATCCTGTCTCTAAACAAAATACAAAAAAAGGGCTGGGGATGTTAAAAAGTAAAAAAAAGAATAATATAGGGCTATTATGAGCAACTTTATGTCAAGTTTTGACAGCTTAGATGAAATGGACAGATTCTTTGAAGAATACAACTTTCTTAAACCAACATAGAGAAAATAAAATCTCAGTATTTGCTAATGAAGTTGGAACTATAATTTAAAATCTCCCACAAAAAAAAAAAAATGTAGACTTGCTTTACTGGTAAATTCAACTATGCATTTAGGAAAAAGATAATTTTTACTAATACTATACGCTGTCTTTCAGAGAACTGAGGAAGAGGAAGTACTTAACAAGATAACCAAGGTTAGGTAACTGAGATAACAAAATCTGACAAGATCATTATCTTATGAGAAAAAAATTACAGATCTGTGTCCCAGAAAGAGTCATAAAACATAAAAATCTTTGAAAAAATATTAATAGAGCCAGAAATTCTGAACAAGGAGATTATGTAATGATAAAGTGAGGTTTATCTCAAAATGGTAAAGTTGTTTAATGCTTATTAACAAAATCAAGAATAATTGTAGCCATCTCAAGGGATATCAAACAGGCATGTGATAAAATTCAACACCCAGAGAATTTCCTAAATTATATATCACTTCTGTAAATGAAAAACAAGAACTAACATAATGGTGAAATGATGGAAGTTTTCCCCTGATGTCAGAAATAAAGCAAAGGCAAAATTATCCCTTACATTAAGACAAGTAAAAGATATTAAAGGCTTAAAGATGGAAAGAGAAAACTAAAAATGCTTTATTTTAGGGTGATGTGACTGTGTAGAAATTGTAAAGGAATATTAAAATCACTAGAATTAATGTGTGAATTAACTATAAAAGGTTAATGTACATGGTAAATATATGGAAGTCTATTGTACTCTAGAACAAATAGTGACTGGCAAACTTGCCTATATGGCAAGTCCAGCTAGCCTTCTATTTTTATAAAGTTTTACTGGAACACAGCTATATTCATTTACTTACTTGTTGTTTATGGCTGTTTTCTCACCTTCAAGGGAAGAATTGAGTCATTATGCTGGGATCATATGGCCTACAAAGCTTATATTTGCCTATTGATACCTGATATAGAACAGCTTATTAGGAGTTGAAATGTGTAATAGCACTGCTTAAAATAGCATCAATAAACTACACATATAGCTAGGTGCAGTGTTGCATGCCTGTAATCCTACCAACTCAGAAAGGAGAAGGGTTACAAATTCCATATCAGCCTCAGCAGTTTAACAGGACTGTCTCAAAATTATAAAAGGGGCCCCAAGCAGTGGCACATGCCTATAATCCCAGCAGCTGTGGAGGCTGAGGCAGGAAGATTGCAAGTTCAAAGTCAGTCTCAGCAAAAGCGAGAAGCTAAGCAGCTCAGTGAGACTTGGTTTCTAAATAAATACAAAAATGGGCTGGGGATGTGGTTCAGTGGTCAAGTGCCCCTGAGTTCAATCCCCAGTACCCCAAAAAAGAAAGAAAGGACTGCGGATATAGCTCAGTGGTAAAGTGCCCTGGGTTCAATCCCTAACACCGCCCTCGCTTCCCTCCCCACGCCGCCCTGTCCCCCGCGGCAAAAAGGGATTTTTAGCAAGTTATTTTTAAATCTCTGTAACAGTAGTTCTTGCTGGAGAGGGAGTCATTTGACCCTCCTTCCTAAGGGGACACTTGCTGATTAAATGTATAGAAACACTTTTGGTTAAATAAAACTCAAAAAAACTGAAAAGATTGGAGATCTATATAAATAGAAAATTAATCCATGCTTATGGATTGAAAGAATCAGTATATTTCAGATGATACCTTCCCCTAAATTGATTCATTGTAATCCCAATCAGAATCCTTCAGATATTTTAAAAATAGAAATTGTCATGCAGATTCTAAAATTTATGTGGAAATTTTTAAAAAAGAGTATCCTGGACAATCTTGAGAAAGTTTAAGGTTTGCGCAACCCAATTTCAAGACATATTATAAAGCTACAGTAATCAGAACTTTGTTGGCAAATACATTGGAAGTGAAGAATAAAGGATATAAAAGAGGTAAATCCACCAAATACTGACTTACAAAAAAGGCTCCAGTTTAGCTCGAAGGAGAAAGGAATGCCACTTTAACATATAGTGGTATAGCTGCTGAATATCTATGGAAAATATAAACCTTGACCTTACTTAAACCGTTCATAAAAAATATTTTGAGGTATATTATAGGCTTAAATCAGAATTGGGGTAGAAATAATTGGTGTGGTGTGACCAGAAACTTGAAGAATTTGAAGATGTAGAATGCTTACTCCAGGGGGCAGCAGAGGAAGATTGATTGAGGTGAGGAAGCACAGAGCAGCATAGGGCTAAGAATACACATCATCAAAGTAGCTTATGTTTTGATCATTGCTCAAACTAGAGCTAGTGGGATCAATTCAGATCCCCCAAGGAATTCTTTCTTTTTCTTTTATTCTTTTTTTTTCTTTTTGAGATAGGGTCTCACTAAGTTGCAAATGCTGGCTTTGAACTCTGAAATCCCCTTGCCTCAGCCTCCCAAGCTGCTGGAATTACAGGCATGCACCACTGCCCAGCTCCCCCACAGAATTCTTTAAAGTGCTAATCACAGCATTCCCAGGAATATTGTAGGAGTTTATGTTTGGTCTTTTCCTGACCTGGCTAGAATGGCACTGCCTAATTGAAGTGCACCTCCAAAGGAGTCTTAGTGGCTCTGAGATACTGTGCTATGTCCTAATGCCCCATTTTAAGAGAGATATAAACAAGTAGAATTCATTAAATTGGGATCAGTAAGGAAGAGTAGCTTAAAGACCATGTAAAGTTAGTAATGGTTGAAGGAATGGAGTTGCCTACCCTGGGAATGAACAGACTGCAAGGGGCATGCTGTTGTGGGCTAGACTGGTTAAAAGAAGGAAAGTGATCAGAAAAGAGGTAGACATATAAGAGGAGGGCCTTATAAATTGAGATAAGTAGTTCAAACTTGTATCTTGACAGTAATAATGTGATTATATTTATATTTCTTAATTTTATTTTATAAAATATTCTAGTTATCATCTTTATTGAGTTTAGATGATGAGGATGGGGACTATTGAAATAATATTAAATGGGGAAAAAACACAGTGTATAAGAAGTGAATAATCCAGAAGTTCTGTAGAAACTTATAGAGGATCAACATAACCAAGCATGGGAGATAACTGGATCCATTCCAGGGACTGTATTACCCAAACTTTACGTAGCTGTTTTAAGCAGAATGCAGCTCCACAATCCCATTTTAAGGTGAAGCATTGAAACTGGGATCTTTTGTCTGTTGCCTTGGAAATGTCGAAGAAGCTTCTAGTCTGTTAATTTGGCCTTTTTTTTTTTTTTTTTTTTTTTTTGGTATCAGAATAATTGAACTTAATGTTGGTATCAAATGTACCATTTCTGCTACTTCTTATCTGATGTGTATCCTTCCTATTGCATGTGCACCTGGGACCCTTCTACATGTGTATAAAAATTGTTTGCATCCAAGTATCCTGGGCTTTAAATTGACGTTTTCACCCTACATTGTCATGGTTTTCCAAACTATTGTTTTATTTTATTTGTGTGATTATTTATTTATTTTTGGAGTCAAGATTGAACCCACGGGTGCTTAACCACTGAGCCATATCCCCAACCCCTTATATGTTGTTTTGCAAGTCAGGGACTTGCCAAGTTACCTATGACCTTGCTGAGTTGCTGAGGCCAGCCTTGAACTCATGGTCCTCCTGCCTCTGCCTCTCAAATCACTGGGATGGCAGGCATGCACCACCATGCCTGGCTTCAAACAATTATTTTATACACTTAATTTTTAGAATTATTAAGTTGTATAAGTGTTATAGAATGGAGTAAGCAGACAACATTAAGATGATATTTTATATAATTGAAAGGTTTTATTTTTGTCTTTTTTGTTGTTGTTGTTTAAAAAAAAAAAAATCTTCAAGCTGGAAGCTCCTTGACATCTTTTGGAACAGAAACATCAAACAGTGGTACCTTGTCCCAAAGTAGTGCAGTTGGTTCTGCCTTTACACAGGATACAAGATCTATAAAAACACAGTTATCTCAAGGTAAGTCTTTTTTTTTTCCCCTTCAGATATTTTTCATTCTAAATTTTTATAGTGATTTTTTACTCTCTCTGAGCTTTTGCAGTTTGTAAATTACATGTATGATTTCTATTTAGTTCTTTTAATTTTTTTCTCCTAGTTATTGTATTATAATTAATGTGTCATTGAATAACATACTATTTAGACTTAAAACTTCTTAGATCATCAAACTGAATGGTGAACATTCTCTATGTTTAATGTGTTTTTTAAAGCAATTATGTAATTTGTGAATGGCACTTACATATATCAAATCAGTACCAGATTTACCACTGAAGATGAGCTAGCCTATATAAATTTGAAATACTGAGAAAAATGAACTATTCATTGTACTGTTGCATCTTCCCTAACATTCTGATAGGATGTAGAGCAGTCATTCTCAGTGTGGACCACCCACAACAATGTCATCTAGAGCACTTCTGGAAAATATAGGTCCTAATTGAGACCTACTACATCAAAATCGCTGGAGCAGGGATCTGCATTTTAATAAGCTTCTTAAAAGATCCTGTTTTATTTTTAAACTTTTTCCATCAGCCAGTCTCATAACCTTCAGTAGTCACAAGATTTCAGTCAGCTTTTATCCATTGCTAAAGTGGTTATTTATTGGTTCATTGCTTCATATGAATGTTTACTCTTTAATAGAGCAATGTAAAGTGATTTTAGAAAGATGCTGTAATCAGGGCTGGACTTGTGGCTCAGTAGTGGAGTGCTCTCCTCGCACGTGTGAAGCACTGGGTTCGATCCTCATTACTACACAAAATAAATAAAGGTATTGTTTTTATCTGCAACTAAAAACAAATGTTTTAGAAAAGAGAGAGATGCTGTAATCACAGAATTGATACTTTTGTTATCAATGAAATAAAAATACAATAAACAAGGAAAAATATAAAAATAATCATAAACTTAGTACCCAGGAATAATATTTACATTTTGTGTAAGAATCAAAATTTTCAAAATGTTTGCAGTGCTCTTAACATAATGCCTCAGGCAGCACATGCTCAGTAGATATCAGCTATCTTAATCAGTAGTCAATATCAAACCTAACATAGAAATCCCAGAAGAATTCTTATTAATAAATACAGATGCCTGCTATCACTACTACTCAGCCTTAAAAAGTTTTAGCTAAATCAGGAGTATATGAGGCAATAAGAAAGCAACATAAATATTGAAATTAGCATTATTTGTCAATGTTAATTTTTTACTTGGAATTGAGAATTCACTGAAAAACTTAGAAATAGGAAGGGACTTAAATTAGAGGTAAAATACCCCCAAATCACTTAATTCATACAATATAATGAGGATTAAAGAAAAGGCTCACAACAGTAAGAAATAGGAAATTATGTATAAGATGCATAATAAGAAATGGATCCACTTATATGAAGAAAAATGCAAAATGTAACAGAGTGACATAAAAGAAGTCACATATAATGAGAAAAACATCTTGTTCTTTGGTGAAAAATTCAGTATTGAGAAGACTTTACTTCTTTCTAATTAAATTTATTGCACTTTTAATCTATTCAAGTGGAATAGTAGAAGAACTTAAACAGAAAGTTTTTGTTTTTGTAGGGTTGGTTTGGGGGTGGGTGCTGGGGCTTAAGTGAACCTAGGAACGCTCTACCACTGAACTACAGCCCCAGCCCTCTCCCCTTTTTAATTTTTTAGTTATAGATGGACGCCATACCTTTATTTTATTTATTTACTTTTGTGTGGTGTTGAGGATCAAACCCAGTGCCTCACACATGCTAGGCAAGTGCTCTACCACTGAGCCACAGCCTTAGCACCCCCAGCTCCCATTTTTTAAATTTTTATTTTGAGTTAAGAGTCTTGCTAAGCTGCCAACACTGGCCTCAAACCTCAAATTGATCCTCCTGCCTCTTCCTCCTGAGTTGCTGAGATTACAGGCTTATATCACTTTACCCAGCAGAAAAAATGTCTTTAAAATAAACTTGGACATAAACAGCAGGACATGGAAGCAAAAAGAAAAAGAATTTAAGAGATGATAAAAGTATTATTATTTTTAAATTTATGGAGAAAAACTGGTTGTTCCAGTGAATGGTGTTGGGGCAGACAGTACTTCCTGATCATTTAGAGGATTTTGGTGGGAGGTTATTTCAGGTACTAGGGATTGAACGCAGGGCTTTGCACATGCCAGGCAAGCACTCTACTACTAAGCCATATCCCCAGCCCAAAAACTTTTTTAAAATAAATTTAAATGTTAAATTTTAGGTACAATTTTATTAATTTAAGTTGGAGGTATATTTATATAAAATTGTTAAAAAGAAGGGCTGAGAGTGGCCATTTTAATCTCACCAACTGAAATTTCTTAATATCACAAAATTAAAACACTTGGAATTTTCTTTAAACTGTGATAAGAATAGGAGCACACATGGGGCTGGGGTTGTAGCTCAGTTGGTAGAGCGTTTGCCTTGCATGTGTGAGGCACTGGGTTCCATCCTCAGCACCACATAAAAACAAATAAAATAAAGGTATTGTATCTGTCTACAACTAAAAAACATTTTTTTTAAGTGGATTTTTTAAAAGAGAATGTGAGGACACAAGAGGATGTATTTATTTATTTTTACTCAATATCTTCTGGATTTATTCCTATATTATGCCCACATTACCTACATTACCCTATTTATAGCAAAACTGTCATCATGATTACTAAACTATATTTGTAAAAAAAAAAAAAAAAGAATGTTTTAAACACAAACAAATTAATTTATTACTTGCTCTGATTGCCCCATTATATGTACTTCTCTAGTGCTTCTGAATGACGGGATCTTTTCTCAAAGAAAGGGTTTAATAAAGAGCTTTAAAAGATCATTTTGTGTAGTAAAATTAACTACAATATAGTAGAATTATATTTTACTGCAATGTAGTAAAATTAACTATATTGTATAAATATAAAATGTTATTGTATTTTATGTTATAAAATTAACTATAGCAAAATACTTTCAAAAAATATTTACAGGCTAGGTATGGTGGTGAGCACCTATAGTCCCAACTGTTGGGAAGTTGAAGCAAGAGGATTACTTGAACCCAGGAATTCAAGGCCATCCTGGGCAATACAATGAGACCCTAGCTCCAAAGAATCTTTTCATTTTATTTATTTGTTTTTTTGATTTTTTTGTTTTATGAATAATTATAAAATATAAAATGTTGCTCATAGGATAAAACTTTATATGAGTCACCAAGATTTCCCATTATGATCAATGGAAAAACTGGTGTTTCTATTAATGATAACTTTATTTTTAAATGTTTTCATGATGATCTATATCTAAATTTTTGGCCAAAGTGACTTTGCCATTAATGGCTAGAAATGGTGATACACTTTTGTAATTGCACACTTTACATCACTGTAAACTAATAAATTGTCCCTGAAGTATCTTGGGTACACATTAACCAGTGTTTGCCAGTGCTCAACAGTTTTCCATTTGTTTGGAGCCTACACATAGTAGCATACTTGGAAATGTTTTTGCATAAAATGAGCATAATTTTTAAGTAAAACATTATATTGTATAATATCATGAAATATGAGAGTTCCCTGAGCAGAGACTAATAGCAAACACTGTAGGGGCAAAAAAAAAAAAAGGCATAATAGTAATACCTAGTGTTGTATTCTTCAGTTAAAACTATGACTAGGTTCTGACCTCATAAAATGAAAAACATTTGTAAGTACAAACCCCCATGTAAAAGTAAAAACATGCTTTTAAAGATCTCTTGAGCTTTAATATGGCAAAGAATTAGTATAGCTACTGTGTAATTATCTGAAGGGTTTATTTTTGTTTCTCGCCTTTTAGTTTTGATGTTTAATGCCCAGATACATAAGGTATATAAAAAACACCTACTTCACTTTCTTTAGTAGTACTTCATGAAGAGGTATTGCATTAGTCATCTACAGAAAATTTAAATGTGTCAGTATTATCTTGTGGTGGATATTATTGGCATAGCCTTCATTTTTCCCACCTTCAGCATGATCTTTGATATCCCAGGAATTTTGTATTGAGCAACAATTTTTGAGGAACTTTATTCCACTAGGTAGAAACACAGATAAAAGTTGTGGAAGTGTAAAGGGTCTTTGTTTTGTTCTGTTTTAATGACCAGACTGCTGAGCTTAATGGCACATGCCTGAAATGTCAGTCTCAGCAAATTAGTAAGACCCTGCCTCAAAAAATAAGACAGACTGGGGGCATAACTCAGTGGCAAAGCACCCCTTGGTTCAGTCTCTAGTACCAAAAAAAAAAAAGGAGGAAAAAAAATTTAAAATGATGACCAGACCAATAAAGATAACCAGTTTTAATTAGTTCACATTTGTGCGAAGAATTTGAATTGTTAGAAATAAAACTCTAGTGCCTGGGGCTGTAGCTCAGTGGTAGAGTGTTTGCCTCACATTCACAGGGCCTTGTGTTCAATCCCCAGTTCCACGAAAAGAAAACTCTAGATTTTTTTTTTTTTTCTTTTTTTTTTTTTTTAAGGTCTAGGTTATTTTGAAATCCCAGATTAGGGTAGATTCTTATCTTTTGGTTACATTTTAGGTCGTTCAAGCCCTCAGTTAGACCCTTTGAGAAAAAGTCCAACCATGGAACAAGCAGTACAGACCGCCTCGGCCCACTTACCTGCTCCAGCACCTGTTGGGAGAAGGAGCCCTGTATCAACCAGGCCTTTGCCATCTACCAGCCAAAAAGCAATAGAGAACCAAGAGCACAGGCGAGGTAGAACTTTAGCTTGATTTACTGTTCCTTGATTGACCAACATTTTCACCTCACCTTATTTTCATTAAGAGGATTTACTTTTTTTATATGAATAATCCTAGAAGGTTTAAACTGAACTTAATAGAATGGTCAGTCCTTCAAATTTGAGTCAAAGTGGTGGTGGGGTGGCTGTACTTTTTGGGCACTACATAGGTTTTGTTTTGTGGGTTTTCCCCCCATTTCTAATTTTACAGAAGTTTTTGTTTGTATGTCCTGAGTTCTTTTCTCACTTTGCATGTCTCCTTCTGTAGCTGAAGTACACAAAGTTTCAAGGCCAGAAAATGAGCAACTCAGAAATGATAACAAGAGACAAGTGGGTAAGTTACTTGGACCTGAAAGCTATATCCTATGCTTCTCAACTGGGAGAGCGTATTAAATGTATGATGCATAATTATAAAAAAATGAAAGGTGGGGATTGTTAACTGTTAAGGATTGTTAACCACAATAGAGTGTCTTTGTGGTACCAGAACAGTTCTTCATCTTGGTTGTGGTGATGGTTATGCATATCTATATATGTGGTAAAGTGTCATGGACCTATACATATATAAAGACATAACAGAAAATAAGAACATCAAAAACTTGTGGTATCTGAATAAGGTCTGTACATAAGCTAATTATATTGTGCCAGTGGCACTTTCCTGGTTTTGATAATGTACAGTAGTTGTGTAAGTATTACCATTGAGAAGCTAGGTGATGGGTATAACGGTATATAAAAATAAAAGTCTGCACTTTTTTTTTTTTCTTCCATATGTCTATAATTATTTTAAAATGAAGAATAGTTAAAATCAAATATACTCTTTGGCCAGGCGGGGTGTGAATACTCAGTAATAGTTCTGAATATCACCTACTAATAGGATTTGGGCATGGTTCTGGTTTTTTGTTAGTTTGTTTTTTTACTTATTTTATAATCCATACCTTCCCAAAAGCATCCATTGTATTACTAATCTCAAATTCACTAATGGAAATCAGATTATAATTTAAAACTCTTCCAAATTAAAAAAGTATAATCATCTTATTTACATAATGGGAAATAAGTAATTTTCTAAATTTTAGAAACATAGATATAATTTTGTGTATGTGTGTAAACACTGTCTCATTTCTCTTGTACATTTTTGAAATGGGTGCTTACAGTGTTGCCCAGGCTTGGCCTTGAATGCCTCAATGGATCCTCCTGCATCAGCCTCCTAAGAAACTAGGACTATACCCAGCTCTGTACATTTTTGTGCTATGAGCCGTGGAATTCATAGGTTTTGGTTTGATTTACTGTATTTTTATTTTTATTTTTTCTTTTTTTAATTTGGTAAAAGAGACAGACTCTTCTCTCAAAGTATCTTTCATTGACTTCAAAATTCATCACTCTTCCCCTTCACTAGAGTTCATTTTTTTAGGTTTTATAGACATTATGACCAGAACATTTTTTAGATATTTATTTATTTATTTATTTTAGTTGTGGTTGGACACAATACGTTTATTTTATTTATTTTTATGTGGTACTGAGGATCGAACCCAGGGCCTCACATGTGCTAGGGGAGTGCTCTACCACTGAGCCACAATCCCAGCTCTGATTAAATTGTGTGTATGTGTATATGTGGTGCTGGGGATTGAACCCAGGGCCTTGTGCATGCAAGGCAAGCACTCTGCCAACTGAGCTATATATATATCCCAGGCCCAAAACTTTTTTTTTTTTTTTTTAATGGATTTGCCATACTTCCTGGTATGTGGCCAAGTCATTTTTAATAGTAAAGTTAAATGTTTTTTAAAATCCTGCTTATCTAGATATAAGAAGCATCTGGCTATGCTGCCGTGGGGTTTTGTGGTTTGGTTTTTCAAATCCAGGCACTTTGCCAAACCTCAACAGTGAACATAAGCCTACCTTTCACCCTTTAGTCACTCCTTCTTTTGGTACCATGGACTGAACTGGGGGCACTTTATCACTGAGCCACATCCTCGGCCCTTTTTTATATTTTATTTAGAGACAGGGTGTCGCCAAGTTGCCTGGGGCCTCACTAAATTGCTGAGGCTGGCTTTGAACTTGTGATCCTCCTACCTCAGCCTTCAGAGCTACTGGGATTACACGCATGAACCACAACAACTATCGCCTTTAGGCACTTCTGACCTTTGTTACTGTTTATTGAACTTTTCTCATCATTATCAACTTCATACTGCTTTGTTCTCTGCATTTTTTAGTTAATTTGTGTCAAACGCTATTCCATATTCCTCTATTTTTTTTTTCTTCTTGTGTTGTTTCTCTCAAGTTTCCTCAGTAGATTATACTACCTTGTATTTGTTTATTTTTTAAAATATTTTATTAGTGTTGGTGGACCTTTATTTATTTTTATGTGGTGCTGAGAATCGAACCCAGTGCCTTATACATGCTAGGCAAGCACTGTACTACTGAGCCACAACCCCAGCCCCTTGTATTGTTTATTATCTATCATATCTCATGTGATTGCCCAAAATTATAAAGAGAGAATATATAGAAACAGTGAGGCTTGCGCTGGGGTTGTGGCTCAGTGATAGAGTGCTCATCTAACATATGTGAGGCCCTAGGTTCGATCCTCAACACCTCATTAAAATAAATAAATAAATAGGTAGGTAGGTAAATGGTATTGTGTCCAACTACGTCTTTAAAAAAATGATTTTTTTTTTTTTTTTTTTTTTTAAGAAACAGTAAGGCTTGAGTAATGTGGAGCCAGTTAGAGGAGGAAGATAGCAAAATGAAATGGAAAGTGTTCGGAACAAAGAGAACTAGTGCTTCTTGTCTGTTTTATCTGTGTTGTAGAATTAACATCTCTTACTTTTGCAGTGTGTGCTGATTAGTGCTTGTTTATTTTTCCTACTGTACATCTTGTTTTCTGTTGTACTTTTCATAAAAGGTTTTAAGTTTTGAGAACCTACTAGGTTAATAGCTCTTCGTATGTTTGGCAGATATGTATGCCATTCTTCCTCTGTGCATTAAACTTTAGTAAAAATTTTTAATAGGAAAAATACAAATATAGTAATGTATGTAGAGACTTATAAATATTTCTATTGTTGATCATTTAGACCATAAAGACGACAGTAGCAACTTCAGTCTTAAATTAACTATGACCTACTTATTGTCCTTTGTATATGTTTTTTATTAACAGTTCCAGGTGCTTCCTCAGCTCCAAGGAGAGGGCGAGGAGGTCATCGAGGTGGCAGGGGAAGATTTGGTATTCGGCGGGATGGTCCAATGAAATTTGAGAAAGACTTTGACTTTGAAAGTGCAAATGCACAATTTAACAAGGAGGAGATTGACAGAGAGTTTCATAATAAACTTAAATTAAAAGGTAAGCTTTAGTTTTTCTATTCAGGAAATTATTTATTGCGGATTAAGGATGTTTTCCAGATTCAGTGTTTTATTTAGTACAAGTCTTGATTTGTATGGTATGTATTTGTTTTTCATTAGAAGATAAACTTGAGAAACAAGAGAAGCCTGTAAATGGTGAAGATAAAGGAGACTCGGGAGTTGATACTCAAAACAGTGAAGGAAATGCTGATGAAGAAGATCCACTTGGACCTAATTGCTATTATGACAAAACCAAGTCCTTCTTTGATAATATTTCATGTGATGATAATAGGTATAGTCCTTTAAATGTTCTTATATTTTTATACTTTTATGATGTTGAAGTATAAAATGTTTTCTTATAAATTTACAATGTTTAATGTATACCTAAAAAAGATCACAATTTATGAGGCGATTGTTGTGGGTTTTTTGTTGTTGTTGTTTAATTTTTTGTTGTTGTTTTTAGTTGTAGGGTGGACACAATACCTTTATTTTGTTTATTATTTATTTTTATGTGGTGCTGAGGATCGAACCCAGGGCCTTTCATGTGCTAGGCATGCGCTCTACTGCTGAGCCACAACCCCAGCCCCATGGGGAAATTGTTTTGTTTTGGTATTAGGAATTGAAGCCACACTCCCAGACTTTTACTTACTTACTTTGTTTGTTTTTGGGTGCTGGGAATTGAACTCAGGGGCACTTGACCACTGAGTCACATCCCCAGCCCTATTGTATATTTTATTTAGAGACAGGGTCTCACTGAGTTGCTTAGTGCCTCGATATTGCTGAGGCTGACTTTGAACTCACCATCCTCTTGCCTCAGCCTCCCAAGTTGCTGGGATTACAGGCATGCACCATCTCGCTTGGCAACTTTTTTATATTTTATTTTGAGACAGGGTCTTGCTAAGTTGCTTAGGACCTCATGAAGTTTCTGAGGTTGGCTGTGAACTTGCTGTCTTCCTGCCTCAGCCTTCCAAGTCACTAGAATTATAGGCATGCAACACTGTACCTGGCTCATAATTGATTTTTTTTTTAATTTTTGTTTTTATTTATTCTTATGTAGTGCTGAGGATTGAACCCAGTGCCTCACATGTGCAAGGCAAGCTCTCTTGCTGAGCCACAACCCTAGCCCCTTGAAATTTTTTTTTTTTTAATGTTTAATTTTATTAAAAGAAAATGCTGCTGGGCATAGCGTTGCACACCTGTATTGCACAGGAAGCTGAGGCAAGAGGATTGTAGGTTCAAAGCCAGCCTCAGCAACTTAGTGAAACCCTGAGCAATTTAAAGAAACCCTGCCTCAAAATAAAAAAATGAAATGGGCTGGGGATATGGCTCAGTGGTTAAGCGCCTCTGGGTTCATATCCTGGTGCAAAAAAAAAAAAAGAACGTTCTATATACTAAAGTTTTAAATAATGTTCTGTGAAAGGAGGTAATGACGATATACTTTTGTTTAGGGATGCTGTCACATTTGGATATTACTAATTAAAAGAGAAGCATTCTTTTAACATCTAAATTAACCTTTTAAGCTGGGTATAGAGGCACACACCTATAATTCCAACTTCTCAGGAGGCTGAGGCAGGAGGATTACAAGTCAGATCAAGGGCAGCTTGAGCGATTTAGTGAGATCTTGTCCCAAATTAAAAAGGACCAAGGATGTAGCTCAGTGGTAGAGCTCACTGCATTCAATGCCCACTACTACAAAAATGCATACATATGTACATACATAATCTTTTCCTTTACCCCACTACACTGTACTTCACATGAAGCCAGTACCAAAACAATTAGTGTTTCTTGAAGTTTGCCAGTACAGTTAAACTCTATTATATTGTAGTAAATGTGGGTCTAGAAAATTGTCCAATTATTGTGAGGTAAAAGGACTTTGGATCCAGAATTCAGAGTTTTGTCCTCGCTGCAGTTTGGCACCATCTGCTGGTAGTTGTTTACTTCAATTTAAAAATGGATAGGGAGGCTGATTCTTCTGGGCACTGCAGTTATCTAGAGTGGATGACAGCTACGGGTTAGATGTTTAACTATGTTAATTGGCATGAAATCCAGAGATTGGTCTGGGAACATACTGGAGATTCAAGAAACTACCCTCCATCTCCTAGCTTCCTCAAGACAAGGTTTGCCTGCCTGGCTTTGCCTCTTTTCCGTTAGTACTTAGTTGAATCAATTGCAAATCCCATTATATCTGATTACCATTATATTTGTGCCTTTGTCATCTTTGTTTTATCAGCTATATTTGTAAGAATGTTCACATGAAATGTAACCAAATATTATAGGAAAATATTAAATTTATATGCTGTGGACTACTTAGTTTAAATGCTTACTTTTAATTGATCCTTAGGAATTACTTGGCCTTAATTTGGGAGTTAATGCTATGTATTTTTGCTGAAAAATGTTTTTTTATACCTGGTATGCTAAAGGCCATTTGCTTTTATAATAGAGAACGAAGACCAACCTGGGCTGAAGAAAGAAGATTAAATGCTGAAACATTTGGGATTCCACTTCGTCCAAACCGTGGTCGTGGAGGGTACCGAGGCAGAGGAGGTCTTGGTTTCCGTGGTGGCAGAGGGCGTGGTGGTGGCAGAGGTGGTACATTTACTACCCCTCGAGGATTTCGTGGTGGATTCAGAGGAGGTCGTGGGGGCAGGGAGTTTGCAGATTTTGAATATAGGGTAAGTATGATTATGATTATATACTATAGGATTGGCATTAATGTTTTTTATGTTATCTATTTTGGGTAAATATTTTTGAGAGCATTAGAATAACCTAGTTTGACTATTCAGTGGAGAATATGCCTGATTAGGATGTTTATATGATCTTAAGGACAATAACTTCTTGTCTAAGGAATCAAGAAAAATTTTTTTAAGCTGTGCTCTTTTCAAGTGAAGTTAAGAGATGGAAATGTGATTATTTACTATTTATTTTAGAAGCATGGTTTTAGATTTTTTGGACCAGTAAAAATTTTAAAAACCTAAAAACCTATCAACCTATCACAAACCTGTTATAGACTGAGTCAGGGCTTTTTTTTTGGGGGGGGGGCGTACTGGAGATTGAACCTAGGGGTGCTTCACCACTGAGGCATATCCCCAGCCCTTTATTTTATATTTAGAGACAGATCTTGCTAAGTTGCTCAGGCTGGCTTTAAACTCATGATCCTCCTCCTTCAGCCTCCCGAGCCACTGGGATTAACAGGTAATCACCATCATGCCTGTTTTTTTGTTTGTTTGTTTGTTTTTTAAGAAAGCATAGGAAGGCTGGGTGTGGTGCCATTCAATTCCCGGTACCAAAAAAAGAAAAGAAAAACCAAACAAACATTGGAAGGATCAGACACATTGTACAAGAAAAGGATATTTATTTCATATTATATAGTCATTAACAAGTACCAGTCATTGTTCTAAACGTTTTTCACATATTATTTAAATCTCACATCAACTCTGTGATGTAGATTCTATTATCATCCTCGTTTTACAACTGAGGAAATAGATACAGAGATAATAACTTGCTCATGGTCACACAGCTTGTAAATGATGATGCTGAGTGTTGAACCTAGCAATAGGTTCCTGAATCAGTTTTCTTAATTTAATTTTGTGATATGAGAAAATTCTGTAACTCTATATAATATGTTTATGTATATAACTTGTTTACTGAAAGGCATTTGTAAATTAAGGCAGCATAGTAACTGTCCTAGTCCCCATAAACTATTCTAGTTCATTAATTTTAGGAGTAGTGGAGGAGAAAAATAGAGCAGTTCAAAATATAAGGTCTATATACCTTAAAAGTCTACTAGAATAGCAGAGGAAAGCTGGAAACAGAAAGACATGCTGGCTGGAATTTTATTGTCCAATATTTAAAACTGGTCACTGTTGATCTCTCTAGAAGAAGAACAATACCTTTGGGATCTGGTCTGTTAATTTTCATGTCTGTTAATTAGCCTCAAGTTATTCTCTCACACTATCTAGCCCCAGTGGGTGATGCAGTTGGAAAATCTTCATCCCAGCTAAGAGAATCTGTCTTAGAAACTACGAATGACTCTTCCTTCTCACTTTTATTGTTCTCAAGGTTGTCAGCAATCCCTTGCTTCTAGAATTCAGTCACTTTTTCATAAATATTTGCCTTTTAACATCTTTGCAATATTTGACACTGATGATCACCCCCTCAACTTAGGATCTTCCTAATTCTTTTAATACACTTGTTTTTTGTTTAAAACACAAACAAAACAAAAGGAAAAAAAGTGCTCTTTAACAGCCTATTAAGTGCTTCGTGATCTGCCTGTTTCTCCAGGCCAGATGTCCAGTGTTGGCTCTTATCTTTGTGGCCAGTGGGACAGATCTTTCCTTCATTTACTCTGCAGCAGATAGGTGGGCTTTCTTACTCTTGTTAGCTGCCAATTTATTCCTATCTTGGGACATTTTTACCCATTTCTTCTGTTCAGTGTGCTTTTCTTGTGAGCATTCATGCTCATGTTCACACTCTTTCACCTTTGCTTGACCACTCTCTCACTCCTCACTCCCTTCCCCCTTTTGTAAACTCATCCACTCATAGTTTGTAATCACTTCTTCAGCTTGGACCTTGTATGTTTTTGCCCTGCATTTCTGTCGTTGCTTGCTTTATATCCTGTCAACCTTCGTCAGACTGACCTTAATCATCTTTTCACTCTCCAGTCATCTCAGCTCTGCCTTCTCTCAGAGTTCCATTTTGACTCTTGGCAAAGATACTATCCACACAGTGAAGGTATCCATATTATGATCAATTTTCATGTCACCACATTCATACCTTTGAGATGTCCCTGCCAGTTATCATGACAACCCACTGATGGATCTTCATACCTTCAGTTTTTTTATCCCACTTCATTTACTTTTTGAAGAACCAACAGCAACTCCTTGTTGAAGATTATGCTGAGTCAACTTGGTTTGAGAAAAAGTATGTTTAAATTAGCATTGGATCCAGATGAGAATTATAGTAATTGTTGCTGGTATGATCTCATTTGAGTTTACTAAACCATCCAGACTACCAATTTTGAAATTTGTGGAAAGAAGTTATGTTTTAGTTAACATAAAACATACTTTTTAAGTAATGATTAAACTCTCAGAGTTGGAAAACATCTGAGATCTGACCACCTGGCCAAAACATAAGCCTCTTCGGTAGTGACTCTTATCAGGATGCCCACCTCACCCCAGAAATACCCTAGTTGTTAGGTTCTCAGAGACATACACAGTTTGAGTGGAAATCACTTTGCCTTTATCTTCAGCTTTTTGGTGAAACTCTATCCTTGTACAAAACATGTAACGTACTTAATGCAGGTTTTTCAGATATTTGAAAAAACAGCTGTCATGTTTGCTTTGTATGACCAAACAATTATGTCTCTTTCTATGAGTACTCAATCAACAAACCTTCATTGACCTAAAGCCATGTACATGCTATGCACTTGTTAATACAAATATTTATTTTATTATTTATTTATTTATTTTGGTGTCGGGGATTGAACCCAGGGGTGCTTAACCACTGAGCCATGTCCCTAGCCTAGCCCTTTTTAGTTTTTATTTTGAGGCGGGGTCTCACTAAGTTGCTGAGGCTGGCCTTGAAACTTCTATTCTGCCTCAGTTTCCCAAGTCGCTGGGATTGTAGGCATATGCAAACATTTTTTTCTCAAGCCATATCATATTGTATAGTCATTTTGAGTCTTTTGTTAAAAATCTTAATCGTGCTATTGCAGCATTCAAATGCATTGTAGAACTTATCTGCATGAGTCTTTATTCCTCACAGATAGTTCAGCCCCTGCTTGAGAATTTCAAGGAGTGCTAGTAACCCTGAGGCATTGCCTTGAAAGCTAAAAGGCTCTAATGTACCGCCTGCTTTTCTTACTCTGTGAGGGTCTCCACTTGATATACCAGCCCTATTTCTCATTACCCTTTAATCTGTCTGCCTCAAGCAGGCTGGTTTGTGGTCATCTATTATATACAGCTTGATTCCAATTCTAGTAACCTCATTCATTTACCAATTTTACAGAATTTTTCACACATGCCAAGAACTATGCTGGACACTGGTGATAACAAACAGATATATCTGTCCCAGTTTTCTTGGTATTTACAGTTCAGTGGGGATACAGGCATAGGTAAAATTCAGGTACCTCCTTTCACTTCTTAGTATGCATTTTTAATACATTCATTGTTCCCTACTTCATATATTTTATTTTTTTATTTATTTTTGTTCTGCATTGCCAGCTAGATGGAGCCTCTGGCATTAAAGATTGTTTTCTCCTTTTTCCCCACCAAAACACCTATCTCAGCACATAGCCTTGGTTGCCTTGAAGTTAGTGCTTATCAGTATCAAAGCTGAAGTTCCAACATTGTGAGTAGCCCTTGTGCATTCCAGAGTTGAATGACCTATGGATCCACCCTTATATTCCTAACTTCAGTAACCTACACCTTCTAAATCGTATCTTCTTGGCATCTTTAAAGGTTGGAAACAGTGAGTGATTACATAAAGGAGATTTACCTTTAAGGATAAAATCATTCCTGAAACATCATCTAGTGTTTCTTCCCAGAGGTGCCTTCTCAGCAGCCTTCATGAAATGAATTAGCTTTGTTCCTTGTGCTGTGTTGATATGAATCATTACACTTTTGGGGTGAGCAGACAAACTTGATTGTTTAATGAAAACGTAAGTAAAGATTGGATCATAGATTTTTTAGATGGCTTAAAAGAATCAGCCAGACTATTAGATGGTTAGGAAACTAAGGACCCTAAGAGGTTATTGATCTAGGTACAAACTTATAAAGCCAAAACTTGTTACATTGACTTCTGGCCCATTTTTCCCTAACTGAAATGTTTTAAAACTTCTGATCCTGTGATGCCTGATGTCTTTCCCCGCCACCCCCTTTATTTGGGGGGAGGGGATGGAAGGGGCAGTGGCAGGAGCAGATTAGGATTGGGGGTAATAATAAGAATGTAGCCAGCCCCTATTTTATATGCTGCTGCCAAGGAGGTTAAGCCTCCACGGTGGGTGGGTGAAACTATGCACTTCAGTCTCTGTTTCTTCACAAGATCCAGAGACCATAAGGTATTTGAAATGACACCATGGTACTTTCTCCCTTTGTCCCCCTATTATTTTCTCCTCTCCCCTTCCTTCCTCCACTACACCCCCTTTTCTTTTTTTTTTTTTTTTTTTCTTTCTCCTTGTATCTTTTCTTTTTCTTTTTTCTTTTTTTTTTTTACCTTTCAGAAAACCACAGCTTTTGGACCCTAAAAGGTCTGGATTGGTCGTACTGCTTTCTGAAAGGTAAAAAAACAATTAAATAAATTGGGAGATGTTATGGTTGGCTTTGGTGGGGGACAGTGGGTTCATCTTTAGCTCATTTATTTCTTTACAACATTGTACTATGCCACATATAATTCAATTTAATAATACTGTACAAATAACATTGAACAAATGTTGCTATATAACATAGATGAAATTAAGTATTTCACCCTGTTTCTAAATTTGAGTAAGAATCAGAAAGCCAGGTGCAGTGGCACATGCCTGTGATCCCAGCAGCTCAGGAGGCTTAGACAATAGGATCACAAATTCAAAGCCAGCCTCAGCAAAAAGCAAGGCACTAAATAACTCAGTGAGACCTTGTCTCTAAATAAAATACAAAATAGGGCTGGGGGTGTGGCTCAGTGGTAGAGTGCCCCTGAGTTCATTCCCCGGTACCAAAAAAAAAAAAAAGAATTAGCAGTAAAAGTCAGATATAGTCATTACTGGGTGTCCACGTAGGATTGGTTTCAGGACCCCCGAAAATACCAAAATTTGTGGATGCTCTAGTCCCTTAAGTAAGGTAGCATAGTATTCACATATAACCTGTACATGTCCTCTCATATGTTTTAGTACTAATGGAATCCCCTCCATAGTTTCTATCCACAGTTGGTTGAATCTGCATATAAAGAACCAGGGATATGGAGGGCCAACTGTGTGTACATAGTAGCAGCTAGTTTGGAGGCAAATAGAAGCCCTGACTCTGCCTTTAGTTTAGAATTAGTCTCACTGGGAGGCTCATTTAAATTTTTATTGCTTTCTCACTTGATTACATTTTATTTTTAATTTCCCATCAACTCTGTTTTTCATAACTAACTTCTGATTTGTGGGGTTTTTATCTATTTTTTTAATATTTATTTTTTAGTTATAGGTGGATCCAATGTCTTTATTTATATATTTATGTGGTGCTGAGGATCGAACCCAGTGCCTCACTAGGCACATGCTAGGCGAGCGCACTCTGAGCCACAATCCCAGCCCCTTGTGAGTTGTTTCTTAAAATTGATTTCTAGCCAAGCACAGTGGTACATGCCTGTAATCCCAGTAACTTGGGAGGCTAAGGCAGAAGGATCAGAAGTTTGAGACCAGCCTCAGCAATTTAGCAAGACCCTGTCTCAAAATAACAATTAAAAAGGACTGGAGATTTAACTTCAGCAGTAGAGCACCCCTGGGTTCCATTTTTAGAGAGTATGCATGCACATGCACGTACACACACACCACAAATAGATTTCTGAATTATTGCTTTCCCTTAACGTGACATTTTGAAGAGTTTCCCCCTGCCACCCCCCACCCAACCCCCCCCACTACCGCTACCACCCCCTCCCCGGTACTGGGGATTGAACTCAGGGGCACTTAACCCCTGAACCACACCCCCCCCCCCCTTTTTTTTTTTTTTTTTTTGTATTTTATTTAGAGACAGGGTCTCACTGAGTTGCTTAGCACCTTGCTAAATTGGTTAGGCAGGCTTTGAACTCCTGATCCTCCTGCCTCATCCTCCCAAGCCACCGGGATTACAGGTGTGTGCTACCAAGCCCAGCAGGAAATGTTATTTTACTGTCTCAGTATTTTATTGCTTAATAAAGACTTTTCAAAGACTCCACAGTTTTATGAAGCTTATTTTAAAAGAATTGTCAGTTGTATTTGAAGAATTTGATTATTAAGTTGGGCAACCAAAGATAGTGGGGTATACCTATATTTAGGGTGGCTTTTTGCCACACCCAGCCCACAATAACACTGCTTTAACCTGTGCTGACTGAAAATTTTGTTAAATACATAATATGCTTCTACTTAGTGTGGAAGTTATGAAAAATGTTTCCTGGAAATCAATTTCCGTGAAAGTAAAAGGAAGGGTGTATTTAGAGGTAACTTAAAATACACTAAAGTGGGCTGGGGCTATAGGTCAGTGGCAGAGCACTTGCCTAGCATGGGTAAGGCACTGGGTTCAATCTGTCAGCACCATATAAAAATAAACAAATAAAATAAAGGCATTCTGTCCATCTACAACTACCAAAAAAAGTTTTTTTAAATAAACTGAAGCAAATGAAAAAGAAAGACAAGACTCATTAATAAACCAGTAATTTTGGAGCATTGACTAATTGGGTTGTTTTTCCCCCACCTTTTTAGAAAGACAACAAAGTTGCTGCATAGTCTACAAGCAAGTCTTTGAAAATAGGTGAATTTCTAGCTCTTCATGGTCCTGAAAATTGGTTTCAGTCTTTGTGAAGAATGAAGAAGTGAATTTGCTGTATATTTGTCACCAGCACTGGGTTTTGTTTGTTTATTTTTCTGCTTAATTTCAAAGATACAATGCAGTTACTTTTGGGGGGAGGAAGGCTCATCTTAAAAAATGAGCACTAAATATATTTGGAATAGCAGAAGGGTTAAGTAATTTCTTATGTATAGTTAAACTAAAGCAGTACTTCAATGGACTTATAAGTATTTTTTCATCACTGAAAGGATTTTTCTTATCACTAAATTGTATTTGGCAATTATTGCAAGTTGCCTGCAGATAGGGCCGTGATACTGTGTTTTGAGCCACAGAAGGTTGTGTGTGTATGTGTGTGTGTGTGCGCGCGTGTGTCTTTATCTTCCTCTTTCTTTTTGGAAATCCTATAATATGAGGTAGCTTATTTCGTCAATTAGGGTGCTGGATGGTAGAGAATTTTGTCAGTCAACTATGTACACACAGTAAATACTGTTTCTTAGGCAAAGGTAACTTTTTTATATAGTTGTAAAATTCCATTATATTCCATTGCCAAAGAAACATTAAGAACTTTGTATAGCTGTATAAAAAGCAACTAATTTTTTAAAGAATAAACATTTTAAAGTCAGCAAACATACTGTGTCCTTGCAGAAGTTGATGTGCTGAGGAACAGAGTTATGGGTGGGTCTTTTTTTCCCTTGTCTTTCCAGGCTTAATATTTTTGATTTATTTTTTAATGTTTGGAACAGAAATGAAGATTTGATACATTCTTCCATTATCTAAAAAGGATAAATTCTTCATGCTCAATGTAAGAACTTCATTTTGTAGCAAATGGCATATCACAGGATTTCTCCAAATAATATTTTCAGTATATGAATGTAAATAATCATAGATAAGAATGTACTTAGCTGTATTTTCAAATAAGTAATCATCCCCCTTTTTTAAGACTTTTAAAACTAGGCATCAGTTAACTTGTTTTTCCTGATATGCCTGGAGTTTTGTTGTGATAACATTGACTCATTCCATTATATTTCAAGAGGATTCAGAATGTTCGAAATTATTTTGAAAACTTGTAACACATTATTATTAACATTGGGCCTGTGACCCACAGATGACTCAGTATAGAGTTCATTGCTAATTATAAATTACTAATAAATCTTTTTGATATTTTAAGCTATAGTGGAAAAAAATCTGGCCACTTTTGTGTTTTTATGAAGGCCATGGAATAAAGGGATCCAAAGATTTAAATATTTTTATCTACTTTGATTTTTGTTAACTTTCTCCTTAAAACATTCAGTAGTGATAAAGATGTGGAAAACTGCACTGTAGGAGAATTGGAATATTTAAAGATGGTTGATATTTTTATTTTAATTTTGTATCTTTTGTATAGCTCTACAAGGAAATGTTTTGTAATTTGATTTCATTATTAAGATCCAGTACTTGGCAGCCATAGTTTAGATAATATTGTTTAGTACTATTTGCTTGCATGTTAACAACTAAACCTTTTGGAGGACCCACAAATCATGATAATGAACGTATTTCTGAGGCATTCGAGCATCAAAGCAAGTGCTGTGGCAATACCTGTGTAGACTGAGAAGTCCCAGGCCAATTTCAAGAAGAAAAACTTGTAAATACCAGTTCTACACACTCTGAAAGTATGAGTTCACTCGTTTTTCCCAGCTCTCTGGGTCATTGACTGGGACATTTGTTGTCCCAAAAGTAACTGGCAGCATGGCGTACCTGCAGTGCACCTTACAATATTAAAGCAAGGTTTTTATTCTAAAACAGAATAAAACTGTTCAATAAAAAATGTTTGTCAAAGTTCTTTCTCTTAAATAGTAACATTCTCTTCCAATATAAATTAAATATAATGAAAAGCATCTTTTAATAAGGTTGGAGGAACAAAGCCTGGGTTCCATATCTAGCACCACAAAAAATATATATGTCAATGTATGTGTGATTAGAGTTATGATAATGTTTATATTCTGTAATAACTAAATTTCTAACTTTTGTTTCTTGAGATTTATTTTTTATTATTATAGATATATAAGGAAAGCTAAAAGTTCTTTTCTTCCTTTTCTGAGTATAAGACACTCCTGAGTTAAAGATTGTGACATGAAAAAACTAAGCCAATAAGGTACTATAAAGCCACATAGGTAGTTCTGATCAGCCAGGTTTGGGGAGAAGAACATCATAATTGACTGATCTAGTGCCTTGGTAGAGTTACCACAAGAATTTCATATCCTTTTCCCCAAGTTTTGAAAACTCCAGTATCCAGGTTGGGACTGGGACTGAGGACAGGGAAGGACTAATTAGAAGAGGAGGTGGGGATATTTCTGTAGGATAGAATATGGAGGAGAGGGTGAGACTGAAGTTTCCCTCAAGGTTTGTCTGCTTCAAAGACTAAGTCCTCGTTGTTTATTCTTCACATAAACAAAGGAAATGAATGTGTGTTGTCTCTCTTAATTTAATGTGGCTTTTAGCCCTGTCTCTCTGGGTTATCTGCTTATCAGAGAAGCTGCTCCTGTAGGACCCCTGTACTCACTGCATATGCTGAGAAGCAACCTCTTCTTTTCCTGAGAATGATTAAATTTTCTGATTTCACTCTTTATAGCTAATCATGTCTGGACTTCATGTGTTGTAGGAGTTCCCTGCTCTAGAGATGAAACTGATTTAAATTGTGATGGGGAGTGTCATGTTATAAGGTAATCAGAGTGCATGATCTCTTCCTATAGGAGCTCAGATGTCACCAGTTTGCTCGGTTTGCCTGTTATTACTATATTTTTAAAAGCAGACAAGGGCTGGGGATATATACAGCTCAGTGGTCGAGCACTTGCCTTGTACTTGCAAGCCCATGAGTTCAATTCCAACAACACACACACAAGTAAACATTGACAAATATTAGACCAGTTGGAATCAAACTTGGAGAATAAGGTAGAGTGCCATTATCCTCTGGATTTGAGGATGCTAAATGGGAAACTGCTAAGTAGGCTGTCTCAGCCTCTCCTAAGTTGGCCACACAGGGACAGCTTCTTGGAAGAGGTGTCATCTGATTAGGAGTTAGTTAATTAAGGAAAGTGAGAGAGAGCGCAGAAGCTTGGTGGCCAGCAGCAGCCAGCCAGCCAGCCAGCTAGCTAGCTAGCTATTGGTGTTTGCACTGGCAAGAGAGGTACATGATTAAAGCACTGGTCTGATGGGAACAGGCTCAGCCTTCTGAGGAGCAACATACAGGGGTTTCGTTTGTTTCTTTGTGTGTGTGTGTGGGGTTTTTTTGTTTGTTTGTTTTTTCTTTTTAGTTGTCCATGGACCTTTATTTTATTTATTTATGTGCTGTGTTAAAAATCGAACCCAGTGCCTTACACACTTGGCAAGCACTTTACCACTGAGCTACAACCCCAGCCCAATGCAAAGGTTCTTAACCTGTTTTCAGAGTCAGTGGTTTTGAAAATTTGGATGCTAAGAGCACAAGATGGGACAATGAATCTAATGTGATTTTTTTGTTCTCCGTAATGGTGCAGAGCTATCAGCCTGTGGTATGGGTGTCCTTAAAGTTCCAGCTCAGTTCATATGTAATGAACTTGGCTGACTGATTAAAATATATATATATATATATATATATATATATATATATATATATATATAAATTTTTTTTTTTTTTTCCAGGTTTAAGTCATAAACATATCAAAATAAACCAGAGTCTAATTTCAGGTCATAATGTTGGTTTTTAAGGAAATGCTTTAAAATATAAACCATGTTGTGGTTTATAGGGAAACAAAGCAGCTCTTTGAGGATGAAGCATATTTTAGTTCAATACTGAGTCTTTCTTACAAGTGACTCATAGTCACTCAGCTTAGTGGCACAGAAACCACTGAGAGCAGCCAGCAAGGGAGCTCATGGCCCAGAAAGTCTTGCCTTCTCCAGACTACAGTAGTCTGGAGATGAAAAATGCCAAAATTGATCGGGCTCTGAGGAGGCTAGGACCATGTGAGATTCTAATGAATTCCAGTGAATGGTTTTTAGTCACTCCAGTACAGAGGAAGGAGTGTGTTTGCTAAGTGTCTGGAGTGTACTTCTGTAATCCTAATACTCACCTAATGCAGATAATCCTTGGGTGTCAGCCTCACACAGGATTGTTGATGAGAATGCAAATCTCAACATTGCAATGCAGGATTTCGCTTGTGCTGAAAGATTTTGTAAATTCTCTCTTTCTGGGTTAATTGGGGAAAGCCTCTCCCTTGCTGTATTCCCCAGTATTGATAGTATTTCTTTGTCTCCACAAATATGTGGAGCATTGGAAACCGTAGTTTATAAAATAGAATTAGATACAGGTTTTTTTTTTCCTATCATAAAAGCAGCTTAAAAGGGGGGGAAATATGGGGTTTTATTTGTTTTGTTTTGATGCTGGGGATTGAACCTGGGGTACTTTACCACTGAACTACATCCCCAACACTTTTATTTTTTTATTTTGAAAGTGACTCACCAAGTTGCCTGGGGCCTCCCTTTGCTGAGACTGACCTTGAATTTGTGATGCTCTCACTTCAGCCTTCAAAAAGGAAAGGAAAAGAAGAAAAAAAAAATCATCTGCAAGCCCATTACCTGAAAAGCTCACCATGTTAACACTATTTGGGTGTTTATGTTCTGATATGAAACTGACTTTTTTCTTTTTTCATGAAATTATTAGGTAGCACTGTTTAAAGTATGTACCGTATAGGAAAATACACGTCATAATTGTCTTTGTAACCCAGGAATCAGAATATTAACAGTGCCCAAACATCCTCCCACACTGCTGCTTTCCTTAACCAGTACTCTCTACCCACTCAAGACTAACTACTGAAAAAATGAGGGAATGGGGAAGACTACTGCCCTGACTTCTAAGAGCATCAATCATAGCTGGGTTTTTGTCTTTTAATATAAATGAAACTATGATGTGTATAATTATTCTTGGCTTATTTGCTCAGCATTCTTTGTGGGATTCATCCATATTATTCATCCATAATATTCCATGTGTTAGTAGACCACAGTTTATCCCCTTGGGGAATTTCTAGCTTTTGGGCTATTAAAATAATACTAGCTAGCACTGTTTCTTCTCCACAAGAGACTACTGAACTAGAGTAGGAGAAATGCTGTCTAGACTTCTTGAGGATGTGAACAATTTAGTAGTTCCCAGCTACAATGCTGCTCCACACTAGTGTACTACTGCAAGTACCTCAAGTACCAGAAAACCCTGATGTAGAGACATACATAGGTGTGCATATTAAAGCAGATCTCATGTCTCTTATGTTCCCTAAGAACACTGTGCCACCTCTTCCCAACATCAGTTTTTCAGGATTTGAGTGTGGCATCCCTGCTTCCCCTTGTTGAGGTACATGTGATTCTGTCTTAGTTATGATCATCTTAACAACCTGGTAATGACCTTCATCTTGAATCATCTAATGCCTCTTTCCCCTATTATCCTTTATAATGTCTTCAACTTTGTGACATGCCCATCTGTATTGGGTCCCCCCAAGATAACCATACCCAGTGAAAAGCAAAAGGGAAAGACAATGGGCCAAGTCTAGAGGAAACCAGGCTCCAGCTCTCAAAGGGTACTTAGGATCAAGTGAAGCCTCAGGATGTGCTTAACTCCCCCCAGCAGTAAGTTGTGGTCATGTGTGGAATGTTGCCAACCAGGATGTGCTTAAGAATCAGTGCCCAGGGTTTTTATTGGGGGTTGGTTATATAGGCAGCCTTTGCCTGGCAGAATACCACACTAAGGAAGTAAAGCACATTGTACAGTTTAGATACAGTGAACCACTCCGACGAGTTCCTGGAATGGTGGGAACTGACTTAAAACCATGTTTCCAGATTTCAGTCAAAAGCCAAACTTTTAACAGTCTGCTCTGCTAACTGCACACCAACCCACAGTCTGGCTCCCGTTCTTGTCCTGTGTAACCTTTTTCTCATCCTTTCCCACCCAAAGTCTTGAACACACCTGAACTTTGTCCGTCAACCTCAAGTACAACACCTCTGAACTGCAGATTTAGATATCCCATGCTTTGAGCCAGGTGTGGTGGCACATGCCTGTAATCTCAGTGGCTTGGGAGGCTGAAACAGGAGGATCGTGAGTTTAAAGCCAACCTCAGCAAGACTGAGGTACTAAGCAACTCAGTGAGACCCTGTCTCAAAATAAAATACAAAAATAGGGCTGAGGATGTGGCTCAGTGGTCCAGTGCCCCTGAGTTCAATCCCTAGTACAATCTCCAAAAAAAAATAGATATCCCATGCTTTGGTCTTGCAGCTGGCTTGCTCAAGAATGGGTGGGGGCAGGGGAGTACTCCCTTTTTTTTAGTAACTGCTTTTAGCCTGGTACAGAACTAAAGATCTGGGATCTTTCTACTTTCTCTGGATTCATAAGCTCATCCATTTTACTTTCCCAGCACCATCTCCAACCAGCCTGGACCCCCATGATTCATCGTTTATCTTGCAAATATCCTAAACTTCTTTACTTTGTTTCTGCCTAGAGAAACCCTTCATCTCTATGGTCAGTGTCTTCACCCAGAAGGTTGAGTTCTGAGGAAGAGGATCCAGGAAAGTAAATTAATACCACTCTTGATCTAGTTACTACCCTGTGCTGAGCCCTCAACATTGTCAACAAAATATATTTCTCTAATCACCATGCTGTCCACAAGTGGTATGGCCATCTATTTCAAAGAGAACTACAAGCAGTGGGATGGGAACTGCCTCAAGTGCTCAACCAACTTCATCTGCAGCCAGCCTTACTAAAAGGAGGCCTGGTGGCCTTACAGAAAAGGCAAAAAGGAGCCAGGCCCAGGGACACACACCTGTAATCCCAGCAG